TCAATTTTGAATATAACTCTTTAGAGGAAATAATATGATTTTTTTTTTCAGTCCCGCAAATTGACGACCTCGATCCCGCAAGCTTGCGGAGTTGCGATTTTTATGCGGGATTGGATTCCCTACTTACGATTGCAAAGTGACAGAATATGAAATTCAAAATGGCGTCATTACGCTGCATACGCAAATAAGCAAATATATTTATTAATTTGATTTACAAAACTGATGCAAAAATGTTGGGCCATTACATATTTCAATGTTTTTGGGCTCACTGATTACGATTCTAGAGTCCGATTTTCAAATTTCAAAATGGCGGATCCAATATAGCGGGCGTATTTTTAAAACTTCCTTGTATTTGAGTGAAACTTTTACTCGAGGGGTTTTGGGCTCGCTGATTACGAATCTGAAGTCCAATTTGCAAAATTCAAAATGGCGGACGCAATATGGCGGCCAAATAAACTAAAATCACTTAGATTCGCTTCCAACTTTAAAATCGGGGTTTCTTAAGGTCGCCGATTACAAATCTGGAATCAGATTTTAAAAATACAAAATTTCAGATCCATATTGGATCTACCATTTATCACGGGAATTTTAAAATCGAGCGTACGTAAATAGCGTATGACTAACATTCTCATCTCATCTTCACAAAACTATGTACGTGGCTCCAAAAAAAAATTCAAAAAATTTCAAAACACTCGAAATAATCAATATACCCTCGGAGCTAGGGGCCAAATATAGTAAAAATGCGGTTTAAGTTTTTCTCTCTGGCGTCAAGATTTTGTTTAGAAGGACTTTTAAATTTCAAAGATATGATTAGTTCCAAAACTTGTTTAAAAAATTCAATGAAATTTAGAATAAAAATATGGGTATCAAATTAAGGAAAATATTCTTTGCAATTTAAAAATATAAAATTTGTTTGGTTCAAGGACCAATTGATATTGAAAATTTGTATATTTTTTTTTTTAATTTTTATTTTTTACGCTATTAAAGTAGAAGGACGAGATTCGAGGAAATGGTCGTGTGTATATTAATACCTAATATATTATTTTTTTTAAGTAAATACTGGAAATTTCCAAGAATATTCAAGGACAAAATATTAAAAGAACATTTTCTATACCTATTCGTCCTTATACACCAAAAATTTTATATTTTTCAATTCTACAGAATTTTTTCTTTTATTTGGTACCCATTCTATATAGCCCAGAATTTTTTAAAATACTTTTCGGAATTCTTTGAAATTTCAAAGTCCTTTAAAAAAATCCTGACGCCAGAGAAAGAAACTAAAAACGAAGTTTTATTATATTTGGCTCTTAGTTTTGGAAGTATATTTTTTTTTTAGTGCAAAATTGACTTTTTATCGGTGTAATCCGTGTTATCATTAGCTTGATTTTTTTTTGAAGGACTTTTGCCACTTTCAAAATAAACGGCTTGGCGCGCAATATCTCGCATACGCCAATTGTAATACCACGTATAAGATAGTCCGTAAATTTCACAAAAGGGCAAAGAAACTTATTTTTTCATAACTTTTGAATGGTTTTCTACCTGAACTTATGAGCTTACACCATGAAATTCGTGAAGTATTGAGTACAGTATTAAGCAAGTATTGAGACAAGGTAACTGAAACAATTTTTTTTTTCTATGGCACCTCATATTTACGTGGTATTTGCAGCATTTGGCGGATACGAGGTATTGCGCTCCAAGCGACGATATGTAAATTAAGGTACCAAATATACATATGTACATATTAGAGAGCTGCATGAATTCATTCAAACTTCTAGCCAAACAGAGAACAGTCGATTTGAATATTTTACTTCACATACGAAACACTCAGCGTTTGGAATTTCGTAAGCGATGAATATACATTTTGTTATAAACTTTCTACCTTCCAACGGAAGAATGTGAATGAATGAATGGAAAACATTCAAATCATACAAACTCATTTCGGTAAAGGTTTTTTTCTACAAACAAGTTTGTTCATTTGAAGCCAAAATCATTCATTCGATAAGCTGTTTTGAATGAATTCATGCAGCCCCCTAGTACATATATACATACATATTTACATACGCCTTTTCAGCAAATATTTCTAATTCAACAAAAATTTTAGAGAACGACGCGCACGATTGATTATTTTTATTTATTATTATTTTTACCACTTCTATCACATTTTTTGCCAAAATTTCATAAGAACGTAGTCTCTTTTAGTCATTACTTCGGAAACAATGTTTAATTCCGAGTAAAACAAGGTAACATTTATTAAAATCAGTGCAAAAATTATTAAGTTATGTCATCTTTTATAGAGACAAATTCAAAATTTTCCTTACGAATTATTGAAACCTCGAAGTGAATCCAATTCAACTGATTCAAATTTTCTGTGAAATTATGTATATGGAAGTCAGTTTGAAAGACATTTTTAGAAAGTTCACATTTTCAGACAATCTATTGATTTTTATAAATGATACCTTGTTTTACTCGGAATTAAACATTGTTTTTGAAGTAATGACTAAAAGAGACTATTTTTTTTTGTGAAATGTTGGCATAAAATGTTGTATGTAGAAGTGGAAAAAATAATAAAAATTGGTATAAATTTCCGATTTATTCCAAAAATTTTCTACATATTTACAATGTCTTATCCTTAAATAGTACACATATTTTTCTTTCAAAGCCATATGAAAACTTAAAATTGGGTAAAAATAACCGAGCTGAAAAATGTTTAGTGCGGGATGTCATGTAAAAATGGTTTTTTAAGAATAAGTTGAAAGTTTGAGGGTGTTAGAAAAATTTAAACACAGTTTCGTGAATTACTCGACCAGTCCTACGACCTGTACCAGGTCATGATCAGTGTTACACCGTAACATTAGGGTTTTGACACTCCCTTACAAAAGGTTGCACAAACACCCACACACGGTGGCTTGCTAAGGGAGCCCGACTTTGACAAGAGGGCGCGAGAACTGTTTTCTGAGCAATCCTTTTATTAACTAATTTAAATTTTCAAATAAATATATACCAACACATATTCAACAAGGCAGAAGTGACGGCCATATAGCTGACTGTAATGTCAAAAAGCACAGAAAACTTGAAGTACATTTTTAAAAGCTTTTATTATGTTTCACCTGTGTGTAATCAAATTTTGCAATTAATTTTTACCAACTTCCCGATGAGCTAGAGACTTGAAACTTCAACTTTGCTCGGAGCCCGATGACAATGCAATATGAAAGAGGAATCCATCGGCTAAGTGGCGCAGGTGAGAGATATATTTGAAAAACTCGTATATTACTTAATTAAAAGGGAATCCACAAAAAAAGTCCCCGATAGGTGGCGTAGGAGTTGAGATATTTGAAAAACCCGTATTTTTGATCCGATTGGTTTAATATTTAAAACATATATTTATTACTCAAAAATGGATAGAAATAATTCAAAAAAAAGAATTTTGCCGTTAGGTGGTGCGTAGTCCGATTTTTCCCTTTTTTTGCTAACCATTAATAAAAGCTTGTGTTTAAAATTTTAGTTTTTAAATTACTCGTTTTTAATAATAATCGAAATATTTTGTTCCTCATCCATTCTGAATATAGTACCTCTTTCTCAAAATCGCTTTCATCTTCCAAATTTGTCAAGCCCAAACGTTGCTGCATGCTAAGAAAACGTTTGTCCAGTTGTTTCATTTCGTTTTCCAGATGAGAAATGCGTTTGAAATGCCAAATCTGTAAAATAGAAGACATATGTACATAAATAAAATAAAAATTAGAAGCGATGCGCCAAAAATGCAGATGTATTAAAATAACAGACATGCTTAAACTGAATACAAAATTAAAAAAATATATGTAAATTTGTGCGCTTGTATTTTAAGATACCTCTCATCTAGAGACACGATGTCGAACCGAAAATATCGATACGGTACTCATTTAAAGTATCGCTGTAAAGATATCGGATAAAAATAGTCGATATCCCAAATATCGATACTAAATTAAAATAATTTTATCTAAGCATTGGTCCCGTTTCTAATAAAGAATGAACACTTTGCGCTTCGATAAGTGTTTGCTTAAATATATGTAGGTAAATGTGTCGTCTAACATCACCGAAGACGCAGTTTCAAATACCGCCACTTGCTAACTTAAAATGGTCTCACGTAATTAACCGTAAGCTCCCCCGCATAAAACGCTTTCACAGAGATATATCACAAAAAGTATAAAATAAATGGTTAATGATAGAAAAAGATACAGTGGCCCGTAGTTATAGGCGAAAGTTAAAACCTCTTCTAGTTAAAATTAATCTTTAAGTTTAGAGCAGGCTTTAACTTTTAGTCAGTTATAGACAAGTTAGAGGCAGGTTTTTGCTAGATTGACACAAATAAAGGGCCATTAATATAGAATGAAAAAAGTAACCAATCGGCATTATGAAAACTTTGTGATTTTAGCAAGTTCACCCTGTGTCAACTGACTTTTATAAATAATTTTGAAAATGGCGCAGCAAACTGTAAGTAAATAACAAATTTTTGTAAAATATAATTTATTAACGTAAATACTTTAATTTTTATAGGAAGTGAAAAGAATTCGTGAAGTTAATTGGACTGCTGCTATAAATACTCACATCAACGTCATTGAGGACAAGACGATTGTATCATCCAAAATCGCAAAATCTCGAAATATCCTTTGATTGGGAAGCATACTCTTCAAATTAAGACCACTTTTGTATTTTCTCTGCAAATTTTGAAAGGGAAAACGTCTACTTAGAGTACGCTTTTAAGATTTTAAAACCTCGTCAACCTCATTTTAAATTTAAAACGCCGTTTTAAAGATAAAAGGTCTTTTAAGTTGACTATGACAGTGTTAAAAGAGTGTTTATCTTAATATACAGTTTTAAATGTTAAAACCTGCCTCTAACTTCTCTATAACAACGGGCCAATGTGTTTAATGTGGCCCAGTTATTTTCGGTCTCTGCTTAAAATATGTACATGAGAGTGGTCCAAAAGAATTGTTTCCGAGATAGGGTTTGGGACACCTTCCAAAAGTTTTCCTCTTGCCGAAAGAGGTGCTGGTACCACACTTTACGTCTCTAAGTATAAATTTAGAGGATGCTCATGATGCTCATATTTTACTCTAGAAATATTGCGTACATATATTAATCAAACAATTGGTTAAGAAACTTAAGAACATTTCAAATTTAAATTATCTAAAAACCATTACAAGCTCCAGTTGTCATGGCAACAGTAGCTTTTTATAAAAATCACCGATATTTTTACAATGTTTCACAGCGATCCAGTAGCGCATTTTAAAGCCATTGAGCACCCTGTATTGGTTACAGTAGAAAACTGAAAGTTGGTATAGATATTGCAAATATAAAAAGGAAAAACTAAGGGGGTGCCCCGCTTTCTTGGGTGAAATTTTTTTCCCCCCATACAAAAATTTTACCACTCTAATGCACCACTCTAAATACCCTGCAGCAAAATTTAGAGACAGTCTGACAAAGCGCTTGTTCCGTCCTACAAATTTCAGAACTGTCTCTGAACTACTGCAAGACGGCTGCAGAGCGGGACAGTTGACACTTGCGGTGTGCTAGTTGCGCTGTCGTCAAAGTTTCTGACATTTGGCATCCCAGCCGAAGTAGCCGGGGTGTAGAACACCAAAAAAAGTTGCGGTTTTTCCGCCGGGATTACTAAATTTGTTTTATTTTAAGACGTCCACCAAAATATTTCGGAAAAATATTAAGATTTAAGCGAGCTGGACCGATTTGAAAATACCTCCAAAAATGAAGTTTTTTATGAATAAAAATAGTTTCTTAAAGAACTATTTGAAAAAAGTCCCCAAAGATCACAAATTAGATTAAGCTTAAAACATCTGCATAAAAAATATTTAAAAATCTTTTCAACGGAATCGTAAGAATGAGATTTTTCATGATGTTTTTTTACTTTTTTCAAAGATTGGTTTACCAAAAACTTGAATAACTGGGCCAAAAATGTTCTGATTTAGACTTATGGGATCTCAGTAGAAAGGTATTTTCACACTGTTTTTATTTCTGGCCAAAACAACGTCATTCGTGTGCCATCTTGTTTTTTCGAATACTAACACATCTTAATTCAACTTTGAATGACGTTCGTTCATCATACCTTTCTCTTCCATACTTTGAATGAGTTTATTAGCAATGAAATAAAAAGGGTGAGAAAATACCTTTCCAATGACACCTCTTAAGTCTAAATCGGAAGAGTTTAGGTTCAGTTACGATTACGATTCCGTTCAAAATTATTTTTTTCATTTTTTTTTTAATATTTTTATGCAAATATTTTAAGCTTAAACCGTTTTATGATTTGAGGGGATTTTTTCAAAAAAAATCTTTAAGAAACTATTTTTATTCATAAAAAACTTGATTTTTGGAGGTATTTTCAAATCGGTCCAGCTCACTTAAATCTTAATATTTTTTTTTAATATTTTGGTGGACGTCTTAAAATGTAATAGATTTTATAATTCCAATGGAAAAATAGTACCGATTTTTTTTTTTTCTATGGGGAGTGATGCAGTCTAATGTACATATGTACGTTTGGGGATCGTTATATGTACATAAGTAAACGTGTATTTGCTATGTAAATTACTTGACAAAAAATAAGTTAGATACAAAGTCAGAATCTATTGCTTAAGAGGATTGATTATGTTCTGCGCAATATTGCGCATTTTATATGTATGTACACATGCATAGACATGTATTTAAATAGGTGTAGTCATAATAAACGAAAAATGTAAATAAATTGCATACACTATTGTCAAATACAATTTTCACTGAAAGACTACCGTTTATGCCAATGGATCTGTTAGATCAAATTATTGGCTTCACATTGCTCATTTCATTTCTCGTTCGTATTTGAATAAATTTTTATCCTCTTACCCATGGGCGTAGACAGAATATTTAAAAAAATTTTTTTTTTTTTCAAAACCAATAACTTACTAAAAATGCGTTATTATAGCTTAAAATTATTGTATTGTAGGTATGTTGTACAAAAACACATAAACAGAAGTTCAAAAAAGTTGATATAAAACTATTCGTCGATTTAAATAGTTAACTTTTTCCTGTGCATGTTCATTTTACGAGGAGGAAGCATCAAAAGTCTAACCCCGTCAGTGTGAGACTTTAGCCCAAACTAAACTTCCCACCGTCATGTACCGTTCCCCTCCCGGTACCATCGTCAAGGATTTCGTCGGGATTATAACACTGTGTGACTGCTAAAGTTATAATTCTAGTCTCTTCTTCTTCTTCTTATATTACGCTGTAAACGCCTAAGCGATTTTGGCCGAGTCCAACAAAGCACGCCAGTCGTTTCTCTTCTGTGCCAACTGACGCCAAGTCCTTCTCCACCTGGTCTTTCCATCGCAGTTAGGGATGCTAACGATGCATCGATGTTTTTGCAACATCGATAATATCGGTTCAATATTCGATGTTTGCCATCGATGTTTACAATTTACTAACATCGAGAAATTGACGATACATCGATGAAAGTTTTACCGATGTTTTAAATCGACTTTAAGGAGACTCTCCGACTTTCTTTCGGTATGTTTGACTGACC